TGCCAGTGGACCCGGGTGTCCCTCAAGACTATGTCCTCGTCCCCCGGGCCCAATGACTCATTCTCTCAAAGTGTCTGATTAGGTCCAAGAAGCTTTCATAACTTCCCTTCCTGTGCATATTCATCACATTTAATAGCTTCATGGTGGCTCACAGAATCATTTTATCATTGTTCCCGCACCACCATACCACTATAGCAAGGGACGGTAATTTTTTTCTCAAAGGCCAGACAGCTAATGTTTTACCTTTTGCAGGTCAGATGACCCCTGAACCATGAGTCAACTCACAGGCAGCCATCAACAATATGTAAATAAGGGGGCATGTCTGTTACAACAAAACTTTCATTTAAACAATAGGTATCAGACTGTGGTTTAATCTGTCAATCCTGTCTGTAGAGTTAGGCTAGTATTAAACACCAATGAGCAAAGTGGCTTTCTTCAGACCTAGAAGAATTACTTCAACTTAAGAGTAATGTAATTCTCTCCATGTTAATAAAACCGCTTTTCCACAACGTGTCTACTGTGATCACACACCTCCACCAGAGGATTTTCTTTATTTCTCATTCCAAACTCTAACTCATGAGATTTCAGGAATGACCAGGGTTCCTGTGGGTTGGCTTCTTGTGAGACACCGTCATCGTGGTTGGCTGCCTCACGGTGAGCCTACAAATAACGGAAGAGACTGCTGCACCAGGCCTAGAACTGGCTAACTATCTGGCTGCTGTGATCATGCAAGTTGACTAGCTTGCTATTAAGTCCATCTTGGTCAGAAAGCTTCACTAAAACCTGTTCTGCATCATAGCGACACACAAAACTCGCTAGCAGATTGGTGGTGGCTGCAGCTAAGATGCACCGGGCCCAGTGTCAAACCCTGGAAAGCAAGGGTGCTACCACTGAACCATTACTGCCCCGCCCACCGCATACTGACAGCCCGAGTCAAAGCCAATGATCCAATGGTTCCCTCTAACTAATAGCACATGAAAATCTGATCCGTTTTTTAAAAAAACAATAAAGCTTCTATTCAAGCTTTTAAACCAAGTGATGGAATAAAAGAAAATACACCTGACTTAGAAAAGTAAATTTTTAAATATCAAAACTAGTTTAACTTGGCTAATAATTTTGTCCTCCCCGACAGACACACACACACACACCTCTCACTGCAATTGAGCCAATTCTGACTCATAACCATCCTACAAGGCAGGGAATAACTGCCCCTGTGGGCTTCTAAGACAGTAACTCCTGTTTCTATTGGTTTGGTTCTTTTTGTTTTGAAATGGTAACTCTTCACAGGAGTAGAAAGCTTTGTCCTTCTACGGAGCAGCTGATTTGCCACTGCAGACCACAGCGATATTTAATCTCTATGACTGG